GAACCCGGAACACTTCAAGACCTCGGAAAGTATTACAAACGGTTACACACGATTAACAGAGGGCCGTTATATCCACACCCAACCGGATATCACGGCGCAGATCTCGCCCGATGCCGATAGCGTATGAATGATTGATGTACAAGGAGGATTTTTACCTTTTTTAGAATTGTACTAGGGTAAAACTCTCCTACTATATAAAGGGGAAGTGTCTTATTCAGTAGACATTGTAACACGCATATCAAGATAATACAAAATTATTTCTCTGCTTTCTAACTATTGAAAGGTTCTTATTTTAATCATAATCCTTCATACGTATTTGGCTCCAAATCGAGGGTCCGGACGAGGACAAAATTAACATTAAGCTTAAATCCGAGCCCGGACTCAATGTCACAACTGGTTTGGTTTTTTATCATATCTTTAATTTGTTTATCTAACATTCTTGATTGCTTGTGCTGAATCGAACCACATATATTTAAAACAGTGTACTTTAATTGTTATCCGTTTTAAGGGTAAACACAATATTACAAAAAATATACCCAAAAAAATACAATATTACCAAAAACATGTCTAACCTATATACAGATCTAATCCCATTGGTTTAACTCACTGAAGTTTAATACACTAAGTTTAGCCTTTCTTTGTCCTTTTCGTGTTCTCTCTCTCTCTCTCCTACATGACTACATCGTTTGATTCATCTCCCAACTAAATGGGATTTATCTCAAAAATGAAAATCTTTGTCAATTTTTTTTTTTTTTTTTTTGGAAATTGAATAGGAGAATATACTAGCAGTTGCAAAAGACGACGAGGGAGGGGCTACGATCATGGCATCAAAAAGGCCACTCAACACGTTGAAAAGTAAATAGGGAGTAGGTTGTTGGCTTGAAGAGAAAGCAAAGTGATGAAGAGACCCCAATACAAGGCACGTGCATCATAATTTGCAGTAGGGGAGGCTAATTCTAAACCTGTTTGCTTGTAAACCAAGCGACAAACACACATAGCTTTCAACCCTACAACTACTCTTTTAACTACAGAAAAGTCTATTATTAGAACGACTACTGTGCCCATCCATAACCAAGTCATAATATACCTACTCTCGTTAGAGAGCCACGTACTAAGGATCTAACTAAGCCTATTCAATCACTCAATTCCCATTAATAAATTTTGGCTGCAAAATGATTTCACCTTTCAACTCCAACACCTGGCACTGGGGTATTCCTCAATCTAGTAAAGTCTAACCCAAACGGCAAGCAGGGGCCCGTTATCGATTATGACTCATTTCTTCGCTTCCATTCGCTTACCCTTCGCACATGGCATTGACACTTTCTTGGGGCATGCCAAATTTTGTTCGAAGCAATAGTAAAGTTGTCATCGTGGAAGCAATAGTAAAGTTGTCATCGTACAAGAGTTTAAGACGTGAAAATAAACTTTTTACCGAGGTAAAGTTACACACACAATGGACCTAGCGTTGGCCAATCATTCCCCAAATCCACGTATTGCTGGAGCATAGTATACCAGGTTGTGCTTTATTGGCAAATTGCATGCTAACAAGAACGCATACAAACTGAACAATCAAATTTGGCTCAATTCTTTAGTTAACTGCGCCTAATAGGAACAGTAACTCTTTCAATCTCTTCATTCCAAGGTTTGAAAGGGCATGTGTTGGTAATTAATATTTGTTGGTAAGGCAAAGGGTTATTTGCCGTGAGAAAACCTCAGATTCTTAAAGAATTCAGCAACGTTTCGCATTGGCTTCATCGTGATACACACCCATCGCATATGAACCTATAAACAGGGAATGCGTGTTAAAGTAAATCAGATGCTCAGTTTTGTTGAATAATTCGTCATCTAATCCATACTGGTAATTGGCCAGTTCGAAAAGCCACTGTGAAGGGCACTTGTAAGACTAAGGACCCAGATGATTGACAAAAGTATTGGCACCCGACAGTAAAAAGCATAGTCAAGCCTTAGAAAAAGCATTTTCCCTACTTTGCAAGGAAGCATTCACTTACCATCCTAGGTATCAGTCATATTAGCACTAAAATTCCAACGTCAAACCAAGCTGATCAGCCAACTTGCCATCTCACATAAAGACTTGTCCAAGCTTGAGCATTACAAAATCCAACCACAATTATCATTCCAAAGACGGAAACATACTAGCCACGCAAGTTGCCATCTCAAGCCGTCAGGTCAATATCGGTATCAATAATAATTGTCTTTCCAACGATGGCTCCAACTAGTCATGCAAATTGGCAAAATTAGGGAAAGAAGCATGTCAGACAGGCAACCAAAGTACAAGTTACATTACATTTTCCCCCTTGCTAACATTCATCAAATAGATATTCACAAATTTGAAAGAACTGAGTCTCTTGACAACCACACAACGGGAGAAAGAAGTAAATTTTAAGTTCCTTACCCACATTTTATTCTTTCACCCAAGCACAATTAAGACGGTGCAGCTACAAAAGTCTCTGACATGCCCAGCGACACTTTTGCTATTATCCCATAGCATATTTCTGTGTCCAGCTACGAGCAGTGGCCTCATATTTGGACCTGTCAGTCTTGTACATATGAGCAATTTCTGGTACAAGAGGATCGTCTGGATTTGGGTCTGTCAATAGAGAGCAGATGGACAACAGGACCTGAAAACATACCAACAGCCTATTCAGATATCCAAACGTTAACAGCCATTTAAAAGCAAAGAATATAAACCCAGGCGTAAACCAAAGAAGTTAATTTACTTATAAAGACAAATGAGCCCAAGAGTCAACAGGGGTATAAAACTTACCTGCAGATCATTTGGAGAAATCTTCACCAAAATAATATTATGCACCAACATGTTAAACTTAAGATGTGAACTACAATCTCTTTCAAGTGTGGCTTTGAAGTTTGATCCATTTCAGTAAGCAATTTAAAAGCATTTAACATTGAATGGAAGGTGAAAGAAAGACCAAGGTCCAACCTTAGATATGGTCAGTGCTGGACTCCACTGCTCTTTAAGAATATCCAGACAAATGCTTCCATTGCTATTGATGTTAGGGTGGAAAACCTTAGTTCGAAATGAAACCTGAGCCAGTGAAAAGCTTATCAGATCATCACCACAAACTGAGCTTATCAAAAACATTCGGAGTTAGCAAAAAAGGAAATTATACTGCACAGCATTTCATATAAGTATTTCACGAAACTAGAGAACCAACATAAGTAAACTTATCTAACAGCAAACTAATGTCAGCCCTCCATTGATCTGACCTCTCCCTCTAATCATCACAAGGCTAAAGAAACCAAAACTGAGACAACTTATGCCCATGTTAGTCAAACTAACAATTTTCTTTTTAAAGGCAGCCAAATGAATGAATGCACTCTAGTACCCAAAGACAGAGAACCTAGAGAAGGCAAACGTTTTCAGAGCTTTTTCCAAGACTCTGACCTATATCATCTTCCAAGCAGTAGGGAGAATCAGAAGGAGGTATATGATATAATTTAGCCCGAGGGAAATGAAGCTAGCTGCAATGGAGTATGGATTATGCTCCCTTAGGTTTAGGCCTAAGCTCATGCTTATAGAATGTAAAACCAAGAAGTGAAGAGCATGTCCCACACTACGAAACGTTAGCACTTCTTACAGCAAGGTAAAATTTTATGGCACTTAAATTTTTAAGATAAAGAAGGTTAGACACAGTTAAAAGTGTTAACCATATATGGGCACTGAAATATTTTGTTACGTCTAGACTTACAAATCTTTCCTGCTCGTTTAACAGAAAAAAATCAAAAATAAATTCATTTCCAATTGATCACATGCGTTCAAAATGATTATTCTCCAGTTCGTCAAAGTCAATAATGGCATAAAAAATCAACACAAGCAATGGAACAAGAGATATTCTGAAGCATAAGCATACCTTAGGTGGCTTGAACGGATAATCAGGAGGGAAATGAATAGAAACCAAGAATACACCCCCTGCATAAGGGCTATCTGTAGGCCCCATGATTGTTGCTTGCCAATGGAACATGTCCTCAGCCACAGGACCTGTTTAGATGAAGTAGTAAACAAATTAAAATCATTTTAGAATATTAATACCATTCAGATGTAGCAGAACATTCAGATGAGGAATTGTTTATTGAAATAAATATGACCCAACAAGTAATCGCATTTCAACAATTAATATCATCATCAGGATGTTGCTTCCAGATGGCTGCAGAAAACAATAAATTCTAAGACAGCTGGAGAGATGTCATCATAAATGAAATATTCTACAAAGGCTACAGTCAATGACAGCATACCTCCGAGGTCATGTTTTATCTTGGGAATAAAGGAGTCACTTAAAGTTTTAACTTTTAACAAATGCAAGTGAACTGCACTTGGGCATTAAGTCCTATTTAATCAATACCAGAACTCCTTACTTCTAAAATAAAACCAAGAGAATATGGAAAAAGAAAAGCTACAATAACAATAATGGAACATAACTTTTGATGTTTGATTCTTAACTTGTTCTGGGGTCCAGACGCACTTCTATCTTGCCATACATAATCTTTTATATTATTCTTTCCCGTGTGCAGTGGTCGAAAATACACGTCCCACCCATAGGCTCACATGACTTATCCATTGAACAAGCCTTCATACTACTAAGGCTCAGGTACCCACATTCACCTTATTGCACGAGCAACTCCACGGTTGAACAATCTCTCCCGAAACGCTTACAGTGTTGGGCCCAAGAATTTGAACAGTTTTGTCGTCAAGTTACGGGCCACGACCTCCACGTGTTGGATCCATGACTTGCCCATGATTCTGCCTTTGACCAAGTCTAAAGGAATAAAGTTGAAAGTCCAATAGACTCCTTAACCACCACCGAGATGTTTGGGCAACGATCTCACCAAAATCACGTCTCTATCAGGTCCCCACGAAACTATGATTATCACCCAATAACCCATTATCACCCATTATAGTGATCCTCATGCATGCCTCCATGAAATCTACTTATCATGTGTTTCTGCATGCATGAGGTTCTAAACCTCCTCTATAAGGAACCGACATGCCTGTATTTAGGCCTGCCAACATACCATGTTCTCTACAGACCACACGATTGTCTCTTGCAACGGGTCATATGAGTGTATCCTATAATGAGTCTTACGATCATCTCCAGCAACGAGCCATGCGATAGCTCCTGTAATAGGCCATACGAACCATATGGGCAAACTTATCTTACTTAGGACCAAGTTAAGGAGGAATAACTGACTGATCATTAAATGATGAGCCACTCTCTCATCCTTCAAAATACGGCTGAACAACCACTCCATAAAGAAAGGAGTCACTTCCTTATATTAAGGGGATTAGGCTTCAATTTTACACCCACCAAGGTAGTAGGTAGCTGTACTCTTCCATTATAAATAAGAGCTCTTTAAATATCTGACAGTCATGCAATAACAGACGACATCACCTTTCATATACAGTCAAACATCTTTATAACATCATTTGTTCCGATATTTTTTGGCTGCTATAGTGAAGTCCTGGAAGCATAAAGTGTGTCGGTTGCCTATATTAGGGCACTTAAGGACATGTATGATGGAGCTAAGACTCGGGTTAAGACAGTAAGAGGCGACTCGGAGCATTTTCCGGTTGTTATGGGGTTACATCAAGGATCTGCGCTCAGCCCGTTCTTATTTACCTTGGTGATGGACGCACTAACACACCATATTCAAGTGGAGGTGCCATGGTGTATGTTATTCACTGACGACATAATTCTGATAGATGAGACGCGAGCCGATGTTAACGAGAGGCTGGAGGTTTGGAGACAGGACCTTGAGTCTAAGGGTTTCAAGCTGAGCAGGACTAAGACGGAATACCTGGAGTGCAAGTTCAGCGCCGAGCCGAGGGAAGCTCGCATGGACGTGAGGCTTAAATCACAGGTCATCGGTCATCCCCATAAGAGGCAGTTTCAAGTACCTTGGTCGGTTATCCAGGGGGATGGAAAGATCGACGAGGATGTCACACACCGTATTGCAGTGGGGTGGATGAAGTAGAGGTTAGCATCTGGAGTCCTGTCACCTGTGTGATAAGAAAGTGCCACTGATACTCAAAGGTAAGTTTTATAGAGCAGTGGTTAGACCGGCCATGTTGTATGGGACTGAGTGTTGGCCAGTTAAGAACTCATATATTCAGAAGATGAAAGTTGCAGGAATGAGGATGTTGAGGTGGATGAGCGGGCACACTAGAATGGATAAGATTAGGAATGAGCATATTCGGGAAAAGGTGTGCGTGGTTCCCATTGATGAAAAGATGCGGAAAGCGAGACTCAGATGGTTCGAGCACGTACAGAGGAGAAGCTCAGATGTCCTGATAAGGAGGAGTGAGCAGATGCCTTTGGAAGGCACGAGAAGAGGTAGAGGGCGGCCTAAGAAGTACTGGGGAGGGGTGATCAGGCAGGACATGGCGTGACTTCAAATTTCCGAGGGCCCTTGATAGGAAGCTGTGGAGGTCGAGCATTAGGGTTGTAGGTTAGGAGGTATTTGAGCCTATTTCTACTTCGTACCAATGTGAGGCTAGTCTTATAGTATTTTTGTCTTAGACTGCTAGTGGTTAATGCTATTTTCTCACTACTTTTCCATTTTTCATAGTGCCGGGTCTATTTACTGGCTATTGCTTTTGCGTTTCATCTATTTTCTGGTTTTTATGATGTTATTATTCCTATGGTTTCTGTTGAGGGTACTGATATATTATCTCTTTTCATCTTCTTGAGTCGAGGGTCTTTCGTAAACAGTCTCTCTACTCCCTCGGGGTAGGATTAAGTTCGGCGTACACACTACCCTCCCGAAACCCCACTAGTGGGATTTCACTGGGTCGTTGTTGTTGTTGTTGTTGTATAGTGAAGTGTTGTTATAGAGGACTTATATTATAACATAACATAAGAATTGGTTCTGAGAAAAACTTGGCTTTTATAGTGAATGACTGTTATATAGAGATACTGTTATAGAGAGGTCTGACTGTACATGAAAATATTATTCTTTCTACACATAAAATTTAGAACAAGCAGCTATGACCGTGAAAGTTAGAGCCCCAACTCCCCATCGACAAGGGCAGAGAACAGATCTCAAGATTTCTTGTACGCTAATCTTTACATATTACACTGGTTGTATCACAAGAACACAACATTAATAAGATTCTACCCCTCTCCGTTTTTACGCTATATTTCTGTCTCTTTATATTTATCACATTTACTTTAATATTTTTATTCGCTTTTAGCAGTTGTGTTGCTGTCCCTTCCCTGATAGACAGTAGAGAATTTACCCCTTACATCATGGCAAGAAGATTTCTTCTTAAGGGTGGATAGCCCCACATGAGACAAAAGTGCTATTTGATCAAGTCCACATTGAGTTGTAGTACAAATGAAACAACCAATTACATCGATAAGTTTATACAAGCATTCATTGCAATTTTGCTATTAAAAAGGTAAATAAACTAATTTTTTTCAAGAAACCACTTAGATTAAACCGGACTTTTATGTGGCTAGAAGTTCTAAAATTAATGAGATTTTAAAAACAATAGTGTAAGAAAAGCAGAGCGAACATACCAGCGCTGCATGATGTGGGAGGGTCCTTCTGCAAATCCTTCAGCTCCTTCAATATGCGCTTTGACGCCATAAGTTACTTCCTTACCTTCAAACCCAAGCTCAAATCTGATAAACATGTTAAAATCTCATATCAAATACCAAAGAGCCTCAAATTCCACAAAAGAAAAATGAATGGCCTAGATGAAAGACCTTTGAAAAGCACAAAGTAGCATCAACGATATTACTGGAGCAAAAGTAAGCAAAAAATTCACAGAAATCGCCAGATCTAATCGAATATTCATACAACAACGAAAAACAGTAGATCTTGTTATGTTCATCGTATAGAATGATGCAAAAAAAAATAACGGAGGCGAGGGTTTGAAGTACCTGAAGGTGGAAGAGTGGTAGAGGGGATTAATTGAGTTTGCAGAAAGACGGAGATTGCAGTGCTGAAGCCTAGATTTGATGCTGAACCAATCCTATCGTGGAAGAAAAAAGGATTTTGCTGAAGGGGAAAAAGAGCCTCCGACTCTGTTTGACTGGGTACTAAACGAGTCAAAAAAAAAAAAAAAAAAAAAAAAAAAAAATACCCATTATTTGTGTGGTTATAAAACTTATAACCACACAAATTTAAGGGTATAATTAAAAATTTAAGCTAAATTATTTTTAAATTTAAAAAAAAAATTTTTTTTTTTTAACAAACCAAAAAGAAAATAGTTTCACATAAACTGGAACGGAGGGAGTATTAGTCACCCCTATTACCCCACCCCACATTTTTTATTCTAACAGCTTGTTTGAATGGTTATTATCTACTGCTCCCTCTGTTTTAATTTAGATGACACAGTTTTTTTATTAATTTGTTTTAAAAATAATGACATGTTTTTATAATTGTAAATAATTTAATTTTAAAATTTTTATTTTATCCATTTTACCCTTAATGAGAAGCTTTTATAATCACACAAATGTCATGGCCCCACAAAACTTTTATCCCTAAATCTTTTAAGATCACGGGTTTCAAAAGTCTCCCTCTTTTTTATTAATATCTGTGTCAAGTCAAACTACCTCATCTAAATTAAAACGGGGAGTATATTATATCGTATTTTTACTATAAATACAATATTTATTTTGATTGTTACTTAAATTATTTTGTATCATATTGTGAAATATGTCGTTATGTAACGATGAAATGTGTATTGACTCATTTGGTATAATATCATCGTTTTCTTCTTCTTCTTTTTCTCATTTTGTCCTTAATAATTATATTTTACTCTATATTCTATCATTTTTATAATGACTCTACCTCGTATCATATATTTTTTTATAACATTATAAGCTTATCCTTTAAATAATTGGTGTGTGGCATTATGAAAAGACAGAAAATAATATAATCTATCCAAATATTATTTTCAACGAAACAATACAGTATAATACAATATGATATAATATATTATGAAACGATACATAACAACCATCCAAACAAGCTGTAAACCTAAATATAATCTGCTCCCTCAATTTCAATTTATATGGTAGAAACTTTAAAAATAAAAAGAAGATTTTTGAAATTTGTGATCTTAAAAGTTTAGAGGGTAAAAGTTTTGTGGGCCCATGACATTTGTATGGCTATAAAGACTTCCCGTAAGGGTAAAATTGATAAAATAAAAAGTTTAAAATTAAATTATTTCCAAATATAAAAATATATAATTATTTTTTAAACGAATTAACAAGATAATATGTCATTTAGATTGAAACGGAGAGGAATAACTAATATGAATTATAGTTTTTCTTTAATATTACTACAGAAAGGAACCATTTGGTTGGTAACACAGTTATTGTGAGATTAATCCATATTCAATGTGAGATAAAGACAAAATATATAGTTTACCCATCAACCTTACAGCAAAATTCCTATTACACACCTCTCCTTCATAGGAAACCTTTTACACACTCAACCTTTCAGACCACCCTCCCCCTCATCTTCTTCCCCAAATAGAATTTTTGAAAGAACATAGAATTTTAGATCTAAAATTGAGAGATTTTTGTTGGTTTATTATCCAACTATTGTGAAATCATTTATTTGTGTTAGATTTAAAAGATTTAACAGTAGTATTGAAGGTTTGGTGAAAAAATCTAGAATCCGTCATTGTTGGGGTATCGAAAAAAGCTTGAAAATTCAATTGGGTCTTGTTGAACATTGGGTTGTTGAACTCAATTTGTTGCTCGATTATTTTTTGCTAGTTATTTAGATAATGTGGTTGAATTTTGGTATTGTTGGAAACTTTCTCACAAACAACCATGGTGGCAGCAACAATGTTGCTTAAAATAGAAAATGGGAAGATGAAAAAGATGGGTTTTAATTTTAATTTCTAGTAATATTTTTTTTCTTTTTTAAAGTCAATGACACGTGTCACGACCTTATTAGGTCGTGACTTTCACGTTATCTGAAAAATTGATCAAGCACAAAAGTGGTGTGTCTTAGGCACACTTTTGAAAGGTTGAGTGTGTGAAAGGTTTTCCATGAACGAGGGGTGTGTAACAGGGATTTCGCTGCAAGGTCGATGGGTAAACTATGTATTTTGTCTAAGATAAATAATACAAAAATTGTAAGATAAAATTTATTCCGATATTAGCTTATACTCATAATCAAATATTAGTGATAAATATAAACCCAAATTTTATATCGAAATTAGTATTTTGATCCTGATAACAAAACGACCCCTAAGGACAATGTGTGTCTAAGCAAGTGTAACATTGTTTACAAGAAATTTTGAGATTTGTACTTTTTTATTGTCACGCCGCAGGCCTGGGTGAGGCATACCGACACCCGGTGCCTTAACTTGACTAAGCAAACAAACTTGTCATATCTCTTATAACAATTATATAAACCTAGAACATCTATAAAGAAAAGATAACAACATGCTTCTATAAAGAGCTACATGTATATAACAAAAATTGAGGGTCTAAATATAAAAGACTGAAACATAAATCATCTGAAAAACTAAGTAGTAGCTTCTATGCATATATGAAAGCCTCAACATATGCCTATGAAGCCTCTAGTATAGTCTAAAACTAGAAGTGTCGGAACAGGACCCCGACCTACCCAAAATATCTGTATACATAACAAAACTCTAAACTCGACCCTAGGTAGTAAGTGAGGCTCACCAACTGTAGTTGAAGTGTAGCAACTGCCTAGCGGGGAGGTTTGTCAACCTGTGCATCTGAACCTGCAGTGAATTCAATGCCCCCCGATAAAAGGGATGTGAGTGCAAATAGAATTGTACTAGTATATATAAGGAAGACAAAATAACATATGACAGTACTAGTACTGAAGCTCAAAAAAGAGATAGATGCAGCATAATCAAATGAATACAGGGGGAGGGGCTAGGAAATACCTTATAGAAACACATGTCAAGTCCTGCTGTTATTATATCATATACGTCTTATGGATTTTCAATGAAGCACTTTGGAACATGTTATTTTAGAGCATTTAGGTCTTTGTAAATTACACATGTTGTTAAGTCTTTGCAATTAATATTACACATGAGCAAGTGAGCCACAATTAGGGCATATAATACATAAGCAAGTGATTAAACCGCTAGGGCCTGGTGCACGAGATCACATGAACTAATTAAGTCGCAAAGGCCTTGTGCACGGGATCACATGAACTGACTAAGCCACAAAGGCCTCGTGTTATGCATTTGGATTAGTTGTATCAAGTAGCACATGAGCAAATAATTAACATTCTTGGGATAACATTTCATTATGGAAGTCATTACGCATGATTTAATATGATTGACATTCTTTGGGTAAGCGATTAATTTAGTACATGTGACATGAATATCTCAAATAATACTATAGATCATATAGGATCACAAATGAAGGCCGTCCATAGGAATGTAATGTATGAATATTACATGGCTACCATGCACCAATGCGTTTCATCGGACCATCCATAGGGTATATAATGTATGAATATGCAAGTGACCATTTCCGTATCATGCACATATATGGGTACCTCGATAGCATTCTTGGACTCTCTGTTTATTAACTTATGGAAGCATCACACATAACCAGATAAAGTCTTTAGCTTATGGAGCTGGTTCATCAGATATATTTACGACATTGTGGATTACTCTCATGTAAAAACCCTGATATTCTCTGCTAGACCAGAAGTTCTATGAGATCATCTAAAAGCTCTCTATGATAAGAACAATAGCATATGAAAGGGGCAAGTGAACATCAGATATACGAATAAAAGACCCATGACTTCTCGTCCTATAGAACCTGATCATATAAGAAGGGAAAGGAAACACATGATAGGATTTCCTGTCAAAGGAGATGAATACAATATAAACATATGTGGTTACTGTTCTATATTCTATGCTCGATACTTTCGGAGCTTGTACTCTAGTCCTCTGAGCAATCTTATTCTCATGAAAGGCTCAAAATGGCTATGTTAACGTGATCTATCTTAAAGGATGCCCTATAACCCAATAATAGTAATTTGGATATTGTCGACAACATCTGACCTACTTTACGATCTATAACCCATCAACAATCCACTGAAAGCTAGACATAGATTCAACTTAAGTAATAATCTGTAACCCAATAACGGTAATTCAGAAACTATCATCGTAAGTCATCTTAAGTAGGGATTATCCATCCCNCGACCGGAAAACTACCAATATAATTCATCTTAAGCAACCTTCTATAATCCATTATCGCTAATCCTGAAGTTATCGATATAGTTCAACTTAAGTAATAGTCTATATATATAATCCCTGGACGATACTTGGAAACCATCCTTATAACTCATCCTCGGTAGGACCTATAACACGTTGACGAACCCCTGAAGCTATTCACATGATTCATCTTACTTTATATTCTATAAACCTTTAACAATACTTTGGAAGTCATCCACATAGTTCATCTTATGTAGAATACACTAACCCCATAATGGAAAATTAGGAACTCGATCACACGTGGAACTCTATATCGCCCTATGAAAGCTTATTATGATATGACCTTCACCTGATAATATTCTGCAATTACAAGCATAAGGAGACTCTATATGATCATTACACTTTTGTAGTAGGACTCACTTATACACATATACCATTAGACGACTCAACCTAGGATGCTAAGGCTTACTTTTAGGGAACATATAAACTCTGTTACATCAGAAGCTAAATCATTTATGAGAACTCACTAATCGATATATACTAACTTTGGAACGATCTTCAATAACAAGGACAAGACGCTTATAAAGAGATTCAACTATCGTGGCATAATACATAAGGAACTTTGATGTCGGTAAGAGTGGAACAATATTTCATACGAATAGTAGGTCTATGACATTCCAAACATATCTCTCGAAAGATCTTATGCTCATGGAGAACTTGAAACGACTATTCCAATACGATTCACCTTGAATGAAATATTATAACCCCAATAGCGATAGCTCTTGGAAACTCGATCCTAAGAGTCAGATAACCACATGACATGTCTCTTATCCAACCTACGGAACCTA